CAAAACTACTGCCTCTGGATGCTCGCCCTAGTGGCCGATGACTCTCTGCGGCGCTTCGTGGTCCTTGGGCGTGTGGGAGGCCCACGGGCCGCTTCGCTTGCCCCCGCAGCCTTCGTGGCCCTAGCATCGGGTCGTTGGCTCCTTTGACCTCCAGCCTTCTGCGGCCCCTCGTGGCCCAGGTCCTTGGGATGAGGCCGAAGGGGGGCGATCTTGTGGTTGCCTTTTATGGCCTCGGGCCCCTGCCTGCATCTTGGATCGGTCGCCTCGGTGGCCTGTGGCCTCTGGTGACAGCTGGTGACCGCCCCTCGTGCCCCCTCGTTTTTTGTTTTTTTGTTTTTTTTTGTTGTTTGTTTTTTTTTTCTTCTTATTCTTCTTCTTCATGTGTGTGTGTGTGTGTGTGCGCGTGCGTCTTTGGTCTTCGGTCTCGCTTCGACTTGCTGCGCCTCGACGCCGCGCGCGTGGCCACAACCGCCGAACAAGTGTGTGTGCTCCTCCTCCTCCTCCTCCCTCCTCCTCCTCTCTCCTCCTCCTCCTCCTCCTCCTCCTCCTCCTCCTCCTCCTCTCCTCCCTCCTCCTCCTCCTCCTCCTCCTCCTCCTCCTCCTGCTCCTCCTCCTCCTCCTCCTCCTCCTCCTCCTTGTGTGTGTGTGTGTGTGTGTGTCTGTGGCAGCAGGGCCCCCCCTCCCAGCAGAGGGTGGGCCCTCCCGGGCCCCGACCGCGGGCCACCGCGGTCGGGGCGCGGGGCGTGGCTCCGGGGGAGACGCGCGAGCGCGACGCGAGATTGTTTGTTTTGAGAGTGGAGGAGGAGGAGGAGGAGGAGGAGGAGGAGGAGGAGGAGGAGGAGGAGGAGGAGGAGGAGGAGGAGGGAGGAGGAGGAGGAGGAGGAGGGGAGGAGGAGGGAAGGGAGGAGGAGGAGAAGGAGGAGGAGGGATGAGGAGGAGGAGGCGAAGGATGATTGATGATGATGAGGAGGAGGAGGAGGAAAAGGAGGATGAGGAGGACGACGGCGAGGTGGTGTAGGAGTGGGGTGGGGGAGTGGGGTGGAGGAGAGGGGGTTTGAGGGATGGGAGAACGCAGGATGAGGAGGGGGGGCAGGAGGAGGAGGAGGCGGGACGAGGGAGGACGGTGGGATGCATCAAGAGGGGGGAGGTAGAGGGATGAAAAGGAGGAGGAGGAGGAGCATGAGGTGGAGACGGATGCGGATGATGCGGATGATGACGATGATGATGGTGATGATGAGGATGCTGATGATGATGATGATGTTGATGATGATGATGGTGATGGTGATGCTGATGATGACGATGATGATGATGAGGAGGAGGAGAAGGATGCGGCGGCGGCGGAGGAGAAGGATGACGAGGACGCGGATGCGGAGGAGGAGGAAGAGGATGATGATGCTGAGGAGGAGTGAGAGGAATAGGAACGCACATACGAACGTGACTCATAATGCAACTACGAATTTGAATTATATTATGAATAATGATAAGACCGCTAATAACACTAATATAGTAATGATATGAATAATGACAATGCTAATGCACAAGGAATAATGATCAGACCAATACTAGTCATATCATTAACACCAATACTACTTCTTCTACTACTCCTATTACTACTACTACTACTACTAATAGGAATGTTGTGGTAAAACTAGTATGAATACGACCATCAGCAGTAGCACTACTATACCTACTACGACTATTACTATCACGTGTTATACTATTATCACCACTTCAACTACTACTGCTATTTCTGTTATTATTGTTTTTTACTACTAGTTCCGCTACTACTACTACTACTACTACTACTATTACTACTACTACTACTACTACCACTACTACTACTCATAAGCAAACTAGTGTACATGATACAGTTAACACTAATACGACTAATACGACTAACACTAGCAATAGTTCGGATATCAATACGGATCTCCATACGTGTATTAATACTGCGACTAGTACTACGAACATGCAGAATAGGAATTGTAGTACTACCACGAAGCATGATATTACGAGCACTGACACTATTCACATGAAGAAGGGGAGGGTGATCCGACGGAGGAGGAGGTGGGGGAGGATGATGAGGAGGAGGATGGATCAGGATGATGAGGAGGAGGGGAAGGAGGGTGAGACGACGGATGAACATGATGTGGACGCGGGGAAGGATGACAGAGAGGAAGCGGATGAGCAGGCGGAGGAGGAATCTGACGAGGATAATGATTAGGAGGATGATGCTGATCGATAATGGTTAGGAGGATGATGCTGATCAGGAGGAGGATGAGCAGGATGATGATGATGCTGATTATGATGAGGAGGAGCAGGAATACGAGGATGAGGAGGAAGACGAAGAGAAACCGTAAACGGAGGAGGATGAGGGGGAGGGCGCACGGGGGAGGCTTAGGATGAGGAGGATGAGGAGGAGGACGAGGAAGGGCAGCATGATACTGATGATGATGCTGCTGATGATGATGGTCCATATGATGATGGTGATGAGGATGAATATGATAATGTTGATGATGATGATGCTGATGATGACGATGATGACGAACACTACGATGATGCTGCTGATGATGATGCCGCTGATGATGCCTGCTGCTGATGATGGTGTTGATGATGATGCTGCTGATGTTGCTGCTGATGCTGCTGCTGCTGATGATGATGCTGATGCTAATGTTGATGACGCTGATGCTGATGCTGATGCTGATGATGCTGATGCTGCTGCTGCTGATGATGATGATGATGATGAAGCCGTTGTTGCGGCCGTTTTTGATGATGCTGATGATGATGCTGATGATGCTGCTGCTGCTGGTGCTGGTGCTGATGATGCTGATGGTGAGGATGCTGCTGATGATGATGATGGTGAGGTTGGTGAAACTGATGCGGATGATGATCCGCTGATGCTGATGCTGATCATGATGAGGATTCTGATGATGATAACACTGATGATGATGATGATGATGATGATGATGATGATGATGATGATGGTGATGCTGCCAATAGTGATGCTCCAGATGTTGATGCTGATGATGATGCTGAGGCCGACGAGGACGATGCTTGTATTGATGATGGTGATGCTGATGATGATGACGATGGATAAGACGATGATGATGATGATGATGATGCTGATGACTATGCTGATGACGACGATCACGATGCTACTTATTCTGAGTATGCAGCTGTTTCTGAACATGATGGTGAGAACACTGATCATGATGCTGCTGATGCTGATAATGATGATGCTGATGCTGATGCTGCCTCCACTGCTGATGCTGGTAATGCTGATGCCGATGATGATGATGACAATTGCGATGCTGATGCTAATGATGATGATGCTGCTGCTGATGATGATGGTGATGATGATGATGCTGAACATGCTGGTGCTCTTTCTCATGCTGATGCTGATGATGATGCTGATGCTGATGATGATGCTGCTGCTGATGATGATGATGCTGTTGATGATGCTGATGATGCTGATGATGCTGCTGCTGACGATGTCGATGATGATGATGCGGATGCTGCTGATGACGATGATGCTGCTGTGGTTGATGCTTATGACTATGATGATGATGATGATGAGGATGCTGATGTTGACGATGATGCTGATGATGATGAAGATGCTGCTGCTGCTGATGATGATGATGCTGATGCTGAGGTTGATACTGATGCGGATGCGACTGCTGCTGCTGATGATGCGGATGCTGATGATGTTGATGATGCCGATGAGGCTGATGATGCTGATGACGAGGCTGACGCTGATGCTGCTGCTGATGCTGATGAGAATGATGCTGATGATGATGTTGAGGAGGAGGATGATGATGATGAGGATGCTTTCGCTGATGCCGATGCTGATGACTATGCGGGTGCTGATGATGGAGATGCTATGCGTACTGCTGCTGATGATGATGATGATGCCACTGATGGTGATGTTGATTCTGCTGATGGTGATGCTGATGCTGATGCTTATGATGAGGATGCTGCTGATGATGATGATTGGTGCTGATGATGTCGATGATTAGGGTGATGATGCCGATGTTGATGTCGATGATGCTGATGCAGATGAGGATGCTGATGATGGAGATGATGATGGCGATGCTGCTGATGATGATGAGGATGCGGATGCGGATGGTGATGATGACGATGATGAGGATAATGATACTAATGCTGATGATGATGATCATAATGACTGATGATGTGGATGCGGATGATGATGTTGATGCTGATGATGATGGCGACGATGTTTCTGATGCTGATGCTGATGATGACGATGATCATGCTGATGCTGATGCTGATGCTGATGCTGCTGATGGATACCACATTGATGATGGAGACGATTCTGATGATGATGATGCTGATGATGATTATGATGCTGCTGCTGCTGATGATGATGATGAACATGATGACGTTGTTGATAATGATGATGGCGACGACGACGACGACGATAGCGATGATGATGACGACGATGATAATACTGATGATGATGACGATGGTGTTGATGACGAGGAGGAGGAGCAGGCGGAGGAGGAGCAGGAGGAGATGGTCGATGACGAGGAGGAGGAGGAGCAAGTGCAGGAAAAGGACGGTTCGGGAGAGGAGGCTGTGCTTGAGGCGGAAGCGCAGGCGCATGTGCAAGCGAGGAGGAGAAGGAGAAGGAGGCGGATGTGGAGGAGGAGGAACCATCCCGATTATGCTACTCAATATAGGGACAATACTAGCAACGCCCGAAATACTGAGCGCAATGCAACAACAGTTATCGTACGATCAAGTTACTAATACCAATCATTTGTTTGATTACATCTACATGTATTTCAACTGATGCAAGTGATAGTAGTAGTAGTAGTAGTAGTAGTAGTAGTAGTAGTAGTACTCGTAGTAGTAGTAGTAGTAGTAGTAGTAGTAGTCGTTGTAGTCTTGGTCGTAGTAGTAGTAGTAGTAGTAGTAGTAGTAGTAGCAGTCGTAGTAGTAGTAGTAGTAGTATTAGTAGTAGTAGTAGTAGTGGTAGT